TCCCCGCCCCGCCTCGCCCCGCCCAGCGCTCCGCGACGCCTCGGCCGCCCGTGAACCCGCGGCGGCCGCCGGAGCGCGGCTCAGAGGGCGGGCGCCCGCGGGGCGGCCTCGCGCACGCGCAGGGCAGTTCCGGGCAGCGGCGCGGCCTCCGTCGCCCCCTCAGGGCTGGCCGGCGTTCGGCCGCCCCTCCGGGCTGGGGTGGGTGCGCCGAGGGCGGCCGCTGGTCTGTGAGGAGAAGCCGCCCTGCCGCGGGCGGGCAGTCCTGTAAGGGACAGATAGGAGCGAGCTCGGTGCCGAGCGCTCTCTGAACCCGGGCGCTGTGCTGGGCGGAGCCGCCTCAGGGGAGCCCGCAGCGCAGGAGGAAAAAGTCGAATATAACATCAAACACTTCTCTCCCTCACCTCACCCCCCCCCCAGTTCTTATGGCTGTGCGCGTCGCTAGGGTAGCAGTTAATCCATCGGATTTACTCGTGGCAATAGAAGCGTTGCCAGAACACGCTGGCGAGAATAACGGGAGGTTTTCCTTTTATTGCCCATTCTCCAGGCCCTCACCTTGCGGTATTGCAGTGTGCAGAGTTCAGTTCTGCTGCACAACGCAGATGCAGTTGTGTGTGGCCTTTGTGCTTGAAGCAGGCAGTGTGATTTATGTATTTCTTTTTATACACAAAAACAGTTTACCTGAAGCAACTAAGGCATTTGTAAAGCTTTCCTACACAATTCCATGGTGCCTACCTGGGGTTAATCCAGCTGCTGCTCCAAAGGCTTTATTCAGAAAGTATTAGATTCTTGTCGTTAGACTGCAAAGAGCATCAATAACTGCAGCCTGGGACTCACCTATCGCTCACTGCATGCAGAGCTGATTTAATAACCAGGTAAGGGACATCTGGAAGTGCTCAGAGCCAAGGACAGGAGGACAATCACCTTCCTGCTCCTGCTGGATGCATTAGTTTTGATACAAGCCGGGATGCCACTGGCCTCCTTGGCCACCTGGGCAAACTGCTGTCAGCTAACATCCCCAGACACTTTTCCTCTGCGCAGCTTTTCAGTCACTCTGTTCCAAGCCTGTAGTGCTGCCTGGGGTTTTGTGACCAAAGTACAGGACCTGACACTTGGTCTTGCTAAAGCTCATACGCTTGGCCCAGCCTATCTGGGTCCTCCTGTAGGGCCTACCCTCATGCAGATCAACCTCCCAACTTGGTGTCATCTGCAAACCTGCTAAGGGTATACTGAATCCCCTCATCCAGATCATCAATAAAAGCATTAAACAAGACAGGTCCCAGTAACAATCTTTGGGAACACCACTAGTGACTGGTCACTGGATTTAACCCCATTCACCACCCCTCTCTGAGCCTGCCAGTCCAGGCAGTTTTTTACCCAGTGAAGGGTATACCTGTCCAAAGCCATTGGCTGCCAGCTTCTCTGGGATAAGTTAAAACTTTAAATGAAAAAGCAAAGTTTTCTCTACCATTCCATCACTGCAGAGATTATGTGTGGTACAAAGGTAGGGATCCTGCAATAAACAGGCAGCCAATGTACTTTTTTGTTCAATATTATGGATGTTTACATAAAGTGTCTGAACTATAGAGAAAGAAAATAAAGTAATAGTAGAAGGACAGGTCATAAAGGACAGTTATGTGTTGTTACATAGGAGGATGTTGCCCAATGCTTCCAGTTGAATGCATTTTTGCCATGGAGCTAATTGATTCTGTCTCTGTAAGACAAACATTTTTCCATTTCAGTAAATCACTCTTTCATCACATATTACTGATATAGAGGCACTAAGCCTTTGATAATACTTAGAACAATGCTTATTTCTCATCCTGCCAAGAAGGACTTGGGAATTCTAGTGGATGAGAAGCTGGAAATGATCCAGCAGTGTGCTCTTGCAGCCCAAAAGGCCAGCGGTATCTTGGGCTGCATCAAAAGAGGAGCGGCCAGCAGGGACAGGGAGGTGATGGCGCCCCTCTGCTCTGTCCTCATGAGGCCCCATATGGAGTACTGCGTCCAGGCCTGGGGCTCCCAACACAAGGAGTACACAGAGCTGCTGGAGCAGGTCCTAAGGAGGGCACAAATATGGTCAGAGGGTTGAAGAACCTTTACTATGAAGAAAGACTGGAAGAGCTGGGCTTGTTTAGAATGGGGAAAGCTCCAGGGTGATCTCATTGCAACCTTCTTGTATTTGAAGGGAGCTTTTTAAGAGGACTGACTTTTTACGCAGTCTGACACTGGCAGGACAAGGAGGAATGGCTTTAAACTAAATGAGGGGAGATTTAGCTTAGATTTTAGGAAGAAATTCTTTACTCAGAGAGCGGTGAGGCACTGGCACAGCTGCCCAGAGCAGTTGTGGATGCCCCATCCCTGGAGGTGCTCAAGGCCAGGTTGATGGGGCCTTTGGGCAGCCTGAGCTGGTGGTGGGCAGCCCTGGGTTGGAACTGGATGATCTTTGTGGCCCAACCTTCCAACCCAGACCATTCTGTGACTCTGTGCTTAGTTCATGGGCTTTCTGTTGGAAGAGGGATATTTTCTGTTACTTCTCAGCAGCAAAATGGCAGCTGGGAATATTTTTCACTTCCAGAGAACTGTAACAACAGTTTGTAAAAGTGTTCAAAGGTGCTCTTCAGAAGTTTTTTAATCAGCTTTTTCCATTAAAACTGACACTTTTATATAAAAATGCAGAACACACGATGGGATTGCCAAAAATATAAAAAATTGTCATCCAAAGAATAAGAAAACAAACTTTCCAGATGTCAAACCTTCCATATTTTGATGACATCTTTCTTTTTATGATACATTCTATAACTGATTTTATATTCACACAACTCCATTGCACCAGACTACGAAGGCAGAACAAGGAAGGAACACCAGTAAAAAAAAAGATTTCATACCTTTTCTTTCAACATAGCCTTTGCCAACAGTGCTAAACCTGTATTGCAAAAAGTAATTGTGTTTGAATTTTTCTTGGGTATTTTGACAGTGCATAAAGCATTGCAGGTATTTTCAGGCACTAAAAGGCGAGTTTCTTTGTCCCAAAGAGCCTGCAGCCTGTAGTGCCAGCCTCTGAAAGAATTCCACAGAGTGACTGTGCCAGAGTGGAGCTGCGATGAAATGGATCTGAAATCACTGACAACAGATCAGGATTTTATAACACGACCTTTAGGAAGTGTAGGAATACCAAACATACAGAGAGGTGTAAGGACATTGCTGAAATGGACATATTATTTGATTAGGAAAATAAGCTCATTGCTTGTATGTGTAGATTCTTACCTGGGCAGAAGTCCTGTCATGCCTTGCTAAACCTATAAAACTGCTTTGAACAAATGAATGAAAATGACGGTAGGGGAATTGACAGAGAATCAACTAAATAATCCAATAGCTTTTTTTTCCCTGTATTTCTTCTTATTTTGTGACAAAGTGGAATTGAAGCCACTGGTTTATCCTGACAATGTAATTAATCAGACTGCAGATTTAATTTGATGCAGCAGGTGGTGTAGAGTAACTTTCATTAGTCCCTAACTCTCCAGCACAGCTTTTGAACTTGCTGGAATGCCTATTTTTGACAGTGATCTAAAAAATGCAGAAGTTTCTCCTTATTTTCTTCTTTTCTTGTTGGTAGGTTAACTTTCTCCCAGCACAAGTTGCTGCATGAGTGACCAAACTAATAAAGCTGGTTTACACACCAAATCACTGAATGGAGGGATGGTGGAAATTGTTAAAAATACTATATGGAAATGTATGCAATGTTAAATCCTACAAGTTAGAACCATGAATCATATTTAAACAGAAAGGAGAATCATGGCAGACAGGCACTGAATTAAGTTCCATATGGAACACTGTACCTGGAAGGGATATTCTGGTTTTTTGGATATATAAACATGAGCTTATCAAATACAAGATGAGAAGTTACACTTTTTTTTTTCGTCTTTCAGAGTAAATGCTTTTAGAATATTGTATTCAGTTACAAGGTTGATTTATTCAGTTTATCAACTGGAAATTTTTAGGTTAATATAAACATAGCTGGTAAGTGACTTACTCTATGAGTTTTCAGCATGCAGTACAATTATATATGTCAGACCTTTCAACATCTTGAAGATGAGACTACACATAACCAGAATGCTTGCAAAATATTGGCAGTGAAAGTAAAAGCCAAAGCAACTTTCTAGAGGTTGTAGAAGGCAGTTTCTAAGTGAAATTGGTTATTTTTCTAAAAGATGGGATCTGCTTTATGTAATAACGGAATGAAGTCTTGGCTGAAGCTTACATGAGCTTTTTGCGCTTTTAACTTGGAATTGCTGATGGTAGTTTGTACTGTAAATCCTCCCTTACTTATAGTATGTGGGTGCCCAGCACTTCTTAAAATGAGTTCTGGAATTTTCCACATTAATAAACACTTTGGATTTTTTTTGTTGTTCCTCCAATATTTGTGCTTCACTTGCAAATGAGAACAGATCTGTGCATCCTTTGAGCTCAAAACATGGATGTTAATAAACTGGGTAAGGTGACGATTGTTTCAGTTATTAAATTGTATCGAGAGAACTATGAAAGAATAAGAATATGCCAGATGAGAGTAGGGAGTATCAAAGAAGAGTGATATACAGAGCTCCCATTTGGGCCCACTTAGCTATTTTCTAATACATCTTTCTCAGAAAAAAGACTAAATAGTCTAGAAATACCTTTGGGAATATCCACTGTACAGGGGGTCTCCTGCATCACTGTGCGATGGCAACTGTCATCAGTAGGCACTTGAACATACTTTCATGGAATCACAGAATGGCTTGGGTTGGAAGGGACCCTAAGGTTCTGCTACCACAGACAGGGCCTCCAGATCAGGTACTAGACTGAGCTGCGCTGGGCCCCATCCAACCTGGTCAGGCGTATGGCA